GCCTCATGAAATATAAGCACTGATGCCCTAGCTGGCTTGGCTCAGTGGTTAGAGTGTTGGCCTGCGGACTGAAGGGTCCTAGGTTTAATTCCAGTCAAGGGCACATGCCTGGGTTGCAGGCTTGATCCCCAGTAGGAGGCCTGCAGGAGGCAGCTGATCAATGATACTCTCATCATTGATGTTTCTATCTCTCTCAAATCAATTTTATTTATTTATTTTTAAAATATATTTTATTGATTTTGTACAGAGAGGAAGAGAGAGAGATAGAGTGTTAGAAACATCGATGAGAGACAGTCATTGATCAGCTGCCTCTTGCACACCCCCCACTGGGGATATGCCTGCAACCAAAGTACATGCCCTTGACCGGAATTGAACCCGGGACCTTTCAGTCCCCAAGCTGACGCTCTATCCATTGAGCCAAACTGGTTTCGGCCTGAAATCAATTTTTTAAAAAAATAAAGAAAAATAAGCACTGAAATTGAGTTTAGCAGTTAGGAGTTGGCACCATTTCTCACCTCCCTGCCACCCCAAGTTTCCAGTTTTCTTTCAGTCCCAGCTCCTGCTCTGAGGCCATTTAATAGGCCATCACAATCACAACAAAAGCAAGATAGAATCAAAAGGCTGTTTAGAGCTTCAAAGACATCAGCAACCTCCTTATTATAAATGTGAGAAAAGGCAGGTCTGGGTAACAATATAATACAAAATGGAGCCTGATAAAAGAGTGGAAGAGACTGAGCAGAAGTCATCATTGTAAAACACTAACTATTTTGTGAAACTACTTTGAACTTCAGTCTTCTCATCTGTAGAATGGAGATAATCATAGTCCCCAGTTTTCTGTTTGTCTTGAAGATTACTTGCATACTACATGGCTCATACTATGTATTCGGTGAACAGAGCCATAATTACAATCCAATCCTCGTTCTACCCCTTTCATTCACCCGCCGATTCTCTCATTTCTACAGTGGACGAACCAATGAGATGTTTGTTCAAACCTTGCTCAAACCTTCTCCTTTAGTTTCAGCTTAAATTCTACCACCTTTTAGGAGCCTTCACCCCTGCCTGGGTGAGGATTAACGGTTCCCTCTTCCATGCTTGTTAGCTGTAGCTGGACCCAGCCCTTATCCAACTTTCTCCTATCTTTGAGTTTACTGGGTTTATATTTGTAGCATAATTTCCTAAAGGTGATGGATCCTTGCCCCTGTACAGTCACCTTATACAGAGCTGCCACTAAGTAAAAGTGTTAGCCTTCACCTGAATGTTTATTGATTTCAGAGAGGAAGGGAGGAGTGGGAGAAAGAAACATCAATGATGAGAGAGAATCATTGATTGGCTGCCCCCTGCATGCCACCCCATTGGGGGTGTCGAGCTCACAACCCAGGCATGTGCCCCTGACTGTAATTGAACTTGGGACCCTTCAGTCCATAGGCCAGAGCTCTATCCACTGAGCCAAACCAGCTATGGTATATTGTGGGGTGTATTTTTTGTTTGTTTGTTGTTTGTTTGTTTGTTTGCTTGTTTGTTTTAAGAGAGAGATAGAAAGGTAGAGGGAAAGAGGGAAAGAGAGGAACATTGATCAGCTGCCTTCTGCATTCAATTACCGCATTTTCCGGCATATAAGACGACTTTTGAACCGAAAAAAAGTCAACCGAAAATCGGGGGCAAAAGACCAAAATTGCACAAAAATTACCTGCAGATCTTGACAGCAAAGTAAGTCTTTTCTTTGAAGTGGGGGGTAGTCTTATACAGCGAATATAGTCCTAAACCTATGTTTTAACTGTTAAAAAAAAATAATAATAATTAAGGGGTCGTCTTATACGCCAGAAAATACTATGGAAAGTATTTGAGAATTACAATTATGGAGTTGAATTAAATTCTTAAGAAACAGTGAGGATTTTGGTTTTCTTATTTTGTTATTTAGGGAGAGGAGTGAGCAAATATATATATATAAAGCAAAGGATACCTGCTGTTTACACAGGGTGTTTCTGTTCGAGGTCAAAGTACTCCATACATCTGTCCTCAGCATTGTCCTTACAACAATCACAGTGACAACCTTGGAGCCACATAGTATCCTCTCATTTTACTATTGACAGCTCCAGGAAACAACAGAAGCTTGTGGTGTTTGTTCAAGCCCTGAGCTCCCGTGGTCATCTATAGGGAGAGCTCCTTGTCTGGGTAGGGCCAATAGGCTTGAGACCGGCTGTGGGAATGGCAATAGGGAGAGATGTGCTTTGGTGTCTCAGTTTCTGACTCTGGATGATGGCAATAATTACTTTGTTTTCTGTGATTCTACCTCCCAAACTCGGTTGCCATGTTACTTTTAAAACTGCCAAGGCAAATGAGCAATGGATGTTAAAGTGGGCTGGGGTGTGCTGCAGGACAGAGCTAAGGGACATTCTTGTTAAACAACAGACATAACATAGCTAGTGTTTACTGAGGGCTTGCTCTGTGCCAGGCAGTGTGTTAACCATTTTATGTGTATTAATTCACTCAGTTCCTAAAACGACCCTATGCCGAAACGGGTTTGGCTCAGTGGATAGAGCATTGGCCTGAGGACTGAAAGGTCCCGGGTTCAATTCCGGTCAAGGGCATGTACTTTGGTTGCGGGCACATCCTCAGTAGAGGGTGTGCAGGAGGCAGCTGATCAATGTTTCTCTCTCATTGATGTTTCTAACTCTCCATCCCTCTCTCTTTCTCTCTGTAAAAAAAAAAAAAAAAAAAAAAATCAATAAAATATATATTTTTTAAAACGACCCTATGATGTAGTCTTCATTTTACAGAGGAGAAACCTGAGGCACAGAAAGGTTCAGCCAAAAGCTACACAGCCAAGAAGCGGAAGAGCCTGGAATGGTGCTCCCACAGGTGAATGCCACGGGCACCCTCTCATGTATGTCCTGCCCTGTCATCCTGTGGCCACCTCTTTCATTCAGAGCCCAGCACAACGCTTTACGTGTAACGTGTGCTTAAGTAAATATTTGTTGAGTTGGAGTAAAACTAATACAACTGGAGCATCGTTGGGAAGTCCGTCCCTTCTCTCCCTCCTTCCAATTCCATCCTCAGCTCCTCTATGAAGCATTTGGCTTTTAATGGTGCTTCTCCAGTTGTGAGCACCAGTCTCTTGCAGAGTCATACTTTAAATTTTTTTTTCTATTTATGATAACAAGTGAATGGTACCAAGTACTTGTTCCTGATTTCGGTGCCAGGCCTTGACACCAAGAAAGAGTTCCCACTTCGGTTCTGATGCTAATAACAAAGGAACAGCACAAAGTTCATCTCTAAAAGATGTGTTGGAGTCCAATGCTGTGTTACAATGACACAGGGTGGAGGAAAGGAGGTGTGATAGCTGCAACACGAAAACAGTGAGAAAATTGGGTCCATGCAGGTCACTTCACACACCATGACGGTGGAGAGCCACAGAGAACACAAATGGACCCAACCTAGGCCGTCAGGACCACGTAAGGCCAGTAGTTGAGTAAACATTACTAACTCAAATTTTATAGTGCTGGGAGGAGGGTTTTACATGTTATTTATCAATTTGTTTTGGATTTATTCCAGCGTGGTTCAAAAGCTGTAACTTAAGCTTATATCTGGTTATATGTGTATACATCTATATCTATAGGCAACATTTTTAAAGAAAATAATGTAAGCCAATACTGAGGAGGTCTAAGAACATTTTGCCCGTAGAGTAGTGGAGGATATGGGTTTCCCTCACATTTGAGGAATGCCACATAATAACATGTATTTGGGGCTTTCCTATTTAAAATAGATTACAAACGCAAACACCTGAGATATGTCGTTAACGCTTTGGTGTGAAATGGTATAATGGTATGTTAGGCCCTCTCTTTTTGAGATCAGGCTTTGATGGGAGATGGAAAGGCTACCAGACTTGATAGGAAAAAACAACAACAACAAAACACACACACACACGCACACACACACACACACACAAACGTGGCCTCTGTGCTTTGGGTAAAGTGACCAGAAGTCCCACTGTTGGTGGCACAGTCCCGATTTTTAACAATTTGTCCGATGTCCCACTGTTGGCAGGACAGTCCCGCCAACAGTGGGACGTCTGGTCACCTTAGTGGGGCAAGTCATTCACTCTCTATAAACCCCTGTTCCTTAGCTGTGAAATACTGGTAATCTGCATCTCCTTCTTCACAGTGGTCTTATCTGTGAAGCTGGTTCAGAGAGGCTCTCAGCAACTGGCCATTTAAATAAAATTCTGATGTATTTGGGAGAGAACAGGAAGGCTCTATCACCAGGTTCTTAGATGGCACAGTCACCCACCTGGTGAGAGGAAGACTCTGATTTGGGGGCCCCTTGGAGTGACTTTGGGAAGCCGGCCCACTGGGCGAGGAGGTGGCTCCACCAGCCGGTGCCACGGCAGGGACCCCAGGCCCGCGGGCTCACAGCTAGCACCTTAGTGGCTCCTGCTGTGCGCGCTCAGGTCCCCCGCACCCACCGCGCTGGGTGCTGCAGGGGAGGCAACGCATTGGTGGGCGCGTCACCAGAATGCGGGGTCCCGTTTCTGGGAGGCACCTGGGAAACTGGGTGAAACCGGGAGGAACTTGGTCGTCACCTAAAATCTCTCAAAAGTGCTTGTGGGGTGGGGAGCGCACGGGTTTTCGCCAATTCTTCACATTGGCAGAGGGGCTTCCCGGGGCGCCCGGTGTGATCCAGGTCCCGCGCTCGGTGGGTTTTGGGGAGAAGAGAGGGGATGTGTTTGGTGAGTAGGCGGCACGCTCCAGCCCAGGGGTGAGGGGTGTTGGAGGGGTGAAGGCGCCGGGTCTCGGGCAGGGCGCGCCCTCCGCGAGAACCAGGGCAGATCGGCGCCGAGAGGCCGGGACCCACCTGCCAGGGCCGAGCACCCCGCTCCGGCGGCGCGGGGAGGGGGCGCGGCGGCGGGCAGGGGACGGGGCGGGGCGCGCGGCTGCCCCGAAGGCGGAGGCGGGGCGGGCGGGCCTCGGGAGGCGCGGGGGGCGGACCCGCCCGCTGCCCGCGCCGCTCGCCCGCCCGCCCGCAGCTCGCACTCGGTAGCGCCGCGGGGCAAGCATGGGAGCCGAGCGCGCCCTCCCGGCGCCCACACCTGTCTGAGCGGCGCGGGCACCCGGCCCGGCGGGCAGCTCGGCGCGGTGAGTGCGGGGCGGCGGGGCGCCGGAGGAGCGGACAATGGGCCGGGGCGCACGGGGTGGGGCGGCTGCGGGGCGCGCGGAGGACTTGGCCCGGGCCGTCCTCGGGGCTGGGGGGCTAGGGGGCTAGGAGGTTGGGAGGCTGGGACCAGCGGCAGGAAGAAGTCTGCGGGGACTCGGGCGCTGCTGGGCACTTGGCTTCACGCACTGTCACGCACTGTCACGGGGAAGAGGGCCGGGAAAGGAGATTCGGAGACCCTGCCACCTGGGATGCCTGGTGGGATGGAAGTGGGAGAGGAGAAAGCGGGCTCTGGGCACGCTCTCCTCCAGGAGGCAACACCCCACCTCCTGCACACGCCACAACCCCCACTGCTTGTTTTCCTGGGTTTGACGTGTATATGTTCCAGCAAGATCGGAACATTACATTTTAACCCTGGGCACGTGGTTGTGCACGCACCGTAGCCAGCAAGGAAAGGGCAGTGGACACGGGCTGGGGAACGGGACCTCAGTGAAGGACCCTGTGCTTCCCTAAGAAACTGGTCTATGAACGAGTTGTTGAAATTGCAAAGACTTCTTCAGCCTGTGGTCATCCATCACGCGATAACTTATAAGTAAAAGTTTTTTGGGGGAAAAGGTTTAAAAAGTGTCTTACAAGAGGACGGAGAATTGTGTAAGTCCAGGAAAACTGCCACTCCCTCTTCAGAGTACAAATTGGGTTTGCTTTCACCAGAAAATAGCTGATAAAAATCCTGTTTGTTTTATGGCCCTTTGGGCGACACCCAGGAGATTTCAGAAACAGCCCGTAGGGGGGGGTGGAAAGCTCCGGTTAGTGTTGGCATGGGGCTGGGTGACTTCTCTCAGCTCCTGAAATTAAACTTGAGGAGGTCCTTCTTCCTCTCCCCCCCCCCCCCAAGCACTTTTTAGGATCAGATAGGCCAAACTGAGAATCGTTTTTATGAGTGGTGGTGTGAGAAGGAGTTAAATTCACAATCTGAGGGCAGCTGTGGCCAAAAGCCAAATGCCAACTTAATATCCGAATATTTATTGCACTTGCTCCAGGGCCCTATTTGTGCATAAGAACATTCAAAATAGACTTATCATCTGTCTCTTAAGACGTCTCTGTTAAACAGGAGGGCATAGGAGTTGGGGTGGGGAGAAGACACTTAGGAAATGCCCCAGAAAGTCCTTCTCTGTGCTTGTGGAAGTGTTTGGTGATCATATGCACACCATCTGCATCTCAATACATTGTTTTCTCTTGTGTTTGTCTCACTCATATAAAGTCGAGAGGTAATTTTTCATCCCTTCCTGTGCCTGAACTGCAAAGGAAGCATTATTCCAAGGTAACTAATAGGGATCTCATTCCGTAACGGCCGACAACGTATTCAGGTAGACGGTGAATGGCGGGCACATTTTTCTGTCTGTAGCATAAATGCCAAGGAGGCCATTAGTGGCCTGAGAGCATTGCTGGGCCCGCTCTGCCTTGTTTCAGAGTCTCAGGTTCTCCTCCCTGTTTCTTCTCATAGATCCCCGGAGGAGGGATGGGGGAGAGATTTGTTTCTCATGGATTCACCATTGACAGTTTTATACATTCTGTTCGTGTACTGCTGCTGCCAGGTTTATCCCCGGTCACTGGAGTGGTTCATTTTGCCTAAAATCTGATAGAGCAGTTAAGCTTCTATTGCCCACAAGATTATGTTTAGGGTGGCTGCACTTGTAAATGCCCTGCATTTCTTTCCTGTGTGGGACTGTAATTCTTAAGCCATTATGCGATCGGGTCTGTTTTCCTTTAACAGATTCGATGACTTTGGAAAACGAGAGCAAGCCTGGCTACAGAGCTTTGTTCATTTTTTAGGTATTTGCTTTAGGAATTAGCCTGGTTTCCCTCACTGTTCAGTGTCCTTGGCCACAGATGACTTGGAAAACCCTTTGTTCATCCTTCCAACTGGTGTCCAAAACGTGTGTGTTCATACACTTTCCCACTGTCTCTTTCTGTCACGAATGTTTGCAGTGGTCCCCGGAGTTCATCTGTTGTGCAATCGTTTACACGTTGTCCTCCCAGCACTTAACTTGTGGTAGGCGTTGTAGCTTTCTCCCAAACACGTGCCCTCTGGAGGAGGCCTGTGTTGTTGCAGTTTTGAAGAATAAGGTGCAGCCCTAGAAGAGAGTAGTCCAGGTCCCAGTCTCCAAAGAGATGAGTGTTGTTTGCACCTCCCATAATGCGTGTTGTTCTCTCAGTGAGGTTGGTAGTGAGCTCCTGAAGTGGCTGCATCCTCATGAGGTATGCATATGTTTAGACAGTGGTCAGCGGGTCGGTCAGTGGCTCCCATGAGTGATGGAGCACGGACTGTGTAATCCTCTTGTGAGTCAGTATACAGAGTTGGAAAAGGAATACAGTTTCCCTGTTACTAAGCGTGGTGAGAAAATATTTGCCTACCTTAATTTTCCATTCTGCTTTGCCATTTGGGTGAAGTGATGCACGAACATACTTAGCTGAGAACTTTAAAAGATAACTGTGTGTTTGAGGAATTCTTATCCTGGACAAAGGCTTGTTCTTAAAAAAAACGAAATGTTGTAGACCTGAATTTTCTTCATCCAGATTTAGATATAATCGGGTAAGACTTGGGCATCTTCATTCCTTATTTAAGGTGTGTGTTTTCCAGACAGTTATGTAAGGATATAAGGTGATTTGTAAAGAGAGAACTTAAAGTTATGTAACCCATTTAGTTACCTTCCCAGCTGTGCGCTTATGAATGTTTTTATTACATCTGTTTACATTTTAGAGTGTTTCTATTTAAATAACTGGGCATGGCACAGGCTTAGCTAGAGCTGATAAAAATGGAAACAATGATTATTTGTCTCCTGGGGAATTATTCTATAATCAGGTGAGTAGAGGAATTAATGCAAAGCCACCTACCTGATTTGAAAGCATCCCTGTTCTCCATGGTGTGTGATGAATGGGGAAGGGGCCAGGGAAGGTGTGAGTGCCTCAGGGAGCAAGCAGCAGGTCAGCTCCCACTCCTGAGAGCATTCACCCCAAACTATTCTTCCTTCTGTTCTTGAAAGCTGCCCTCTACTGGAGGCCTTTGCTTTCTTTGATGACTGGTCAGGGAAACCTTGTCACCCAGATAAGCAAGGGATTAACATGGCAAAACTTCCTTTTTCTTTTCCCCAATGCCCCCACCCTCCAGAGCTTTCTAAAGGAAAGCCCCTGCCTGAGCTGTGACTGGCTGCACAGATGCTATCTGTGAACAACATATGCCTGCCCTGGACGTTTGTGACCCTAGAAAATTATAAACTTAGAGACCCCTAGACCTGAAAAGACCAGAGCTGAGAAGACCAAAGAGATCACCTGGTGCCCTGGCCAGTGTGGCTGGGTGTCATCCCGTGCACAGAGGTTGCTGGTTGGATTCCCGGTCAGGGCACATGCCTGGGTTGTAGGCTCGGTCCCCAGTGTGGGGCCTGCAGGAGACAGACAGTCAATGATTCACTCTCATCATTGATGTTTCTATCTCTCCTTCTTCCATATATATATATATATATATATATATATATATATATATATATATAGAGAGAGAGAGAGAGAGAGAGAGAGAGAGAGAGAGAGAGAGAGAGGTAGAAAATGTCAGAACAAGGCTGTACCCCACAAGTTAACCAATAGATTTAAGTAATAATATAGGGAACTTGTAAACAATGTTTCAAACTAATAGGACCCCTAGTTTTTGAGGTATGTGACAAGCTTATTTCTAAGGGATTAGAACTTCACCTTGCCTTGTGGTTTAGCAGTTCTTATAGATGGCAGACTCCTTAACTGGCTGAATGCCCAGAATTTAACTTGTAAGGACTCTGAATTGGTAATATTATCTACTACTTATTAGATAATACTCTTATCTAGAAGAGTAATTTTCTGTGGTAGACTCTTTAGCCTTCTCTAGCAGCACTGTGTGATTTGTAAGTTATCCTAGAGGTTCTTGGCTTAGTCATCCATCATTCAGCCGAAGAATAAATTTGATCCTATGTCAAGAGACTGGAGTGAAGCTGTGGCTAGTGAGAGGGCCTAGCTAACTGCCCAGCACTCACACTCAGGAAAAGACTTGTTCTAATTTCTTCATACCCACTAACTCTCATGAACTGACTTGTAAAAACATTGTTTGTTTTTGAAAGACAGACTTAGAAAAATCAACAACCAAGAGAGGAATGGTCATGCTTTAAGGCCTTTGAAAATTTTTCCTTTTAAATTTTGTATTGATTTTTAGAGAGAGTAGAAGGGAGCGGGGGGGGGGGAGAGAGAGAGAAACATTGATGTGAGAGCAATAAATTGATAGGCTGCCTCCTGCACACACCTGCACTGATAATGGGGCTTATAACCCTGGGTCATGTACCCTGACCAGGAATCAAAGCAACAACCTTCTGGTGCACTGGATGATGCCCAACCAACTGAGCCACACCAGCCAGGACAAAAGTATTTCTTAAGCAGGGGTTTACTATAGGCAAAGCACTTGGGAAAATGAAATTAGAGTTAATTTTGCCTGAGAAGGGGTTAATTTATTAATGCAAGGCTTCTAGATGGATCCTAGTTCCTTACTATTCTCTTTTCTGATACCCTTGCCAAAGGACTATTTCAGTGTTTGGATAAATGGATGAAGCTAAAGACAGACATCACTGGAGAGATTCTGCTACAGTAGATAATTCATACTCTCTATTCCCAGCATCAAGCATGCAAATTTCAGGTTTGGGGTTTGAAGATTCATGATCTAGGTAATAATATGAGCATATTTTAACTGTTATGGTCATCATTGCACATTGAAAATATTATTAACAACTTATGATAATACATGGTATAGTAAGATCTCATCTTCTCCTCTCTCTCTCCCCTAAACATTATATTTTGAAAACAGGGATACTTGGCAGCTTGCACCTCTGTCTGGAGTCTGTGTTTTCTTTCTTAAGACAAGCTGAAGTAACACTTGGCCTACCACGTCTGCTGCTCAGTGTTAGCAGGCGTTAATGTTCTCCACATTAGTTGAAGAAAGGAGGGGGTGGTGTCTCCAGGCCCAAGATACAGCCTCGTGGGAGGTACATGATTCCTCCTAGTACATATCACACTTGGCAGGGATTCTAGTGTGGGGGTGGTTGGTCACCTAGACAGCAACTTACATAGAGAAAAGGCTGTCCACACCCTAGATATGCCCAAGAGCTGGATCCTCGCCCAGGACATGAGAATAGTCAGATACAGAACCATCCTCCGAAGTCTTCTACACGGTCATCCTCACCTACTAGCCTTAGCATCCCCTCTCTTGTCTACTTGGAGCTTTCATTTTTATTTTATTTTTAGTTTATTTTTTATTGTCAGCAGTACAGATGTCCCCCATTTCCCCCCTACTCTCCCCTCTACCCAACCCCCACCCAACACCAGGCCTTGACTTCACTACTGTCTGTGTCCATGGGCTATGCATATATGCATGTTGTTCTTTGGTTAAAGAACTTTCAGTCATTTGTGCACACGCACCCCATGATTTAAAGGATTTAGAGAAATAATTAGATGTAGTTCCTTCCCACGAAAGGGCCCATGGATCCTTCCTATTTGGAAAAATGGAGAGAAGCAGTTTCAAGGAATCAGGAAGTCCCAAGGAATTGGCTTTCCAGGACCTCCTGCCTTCTTTTCCCATCCCTGTTCTCCCTGATGGAAGTAGAACCAGACGAGCATACCCGCATCAGGGATGGAGCTCACAACCCGGGGCACATGCCCTGACCAGGAATCAAACTGGCAACCTTCTGGCACACTGGATGATGCCCAACCAACTAAGTGCAGCAGATGAGAGAAAGAGACAAGCACAAGGATCCCAGAGGTGGGTGGGGCACCCACATTTTTAGAAATACAGTGGATAATGGGGATATGGACTGACATGCTCAGCTGGACTAGATCAGCTAGCTCAGTGGCACCCCAAAAGTGCAAATGGGTCTTTACTTCCAATGAGGGAGAGGGTGAGGATAATGGAACAGTTTCCTTCTGACTCCTGCTACATTCCACTAGCCTCTTGAGACCTAGCCCCTCCTTGTCCTAGTTTTGGGATGTCTGAGCATGAATGAATTACCTCACCTGTTAGTCAGCTTCCCTTGAATAGAAGGTTCAGAGCCATTCAAAACTGACTGATGCTTCGACATCTGGGAAAATTCTACTTCCCGTCTTCTTTTTGTTGTTGTTTTTCTTGTGGGGGTGATTGATCTCAGGCTTTAAACATACCTTTCAAGATGAAATCCAAACTCCTTCATCTCCTATACTCAGCCCCTCACAATCCAGCTCTTGCCTGTTGCCTCTTTGTGGAGCTGAGCATGATTCCTGAAATGATGTGTGTGCCCTTGTTTCCTCTAAGAGGCCCCTTCACTCTGTCTTCTATGATCTAACTTCTGTATGGCTTCAGCGTCCATCTCCAGCCTCACCTCCTCTGGAACCCCTCCCCTGTTCTTCTTACTCCCATAGCTGACTTCATGCCCTTTCTCTGAGCTACCACGTCACCCTCATACATCTCTGTCATCAGCACTCAGCATGCATCATTCAAAAAAGGATTTTTTTTTGAGCCACACCAATCATTCACTCAGTCTTTCATGCATACAATAAATAAATAAATCGGTGCTGAGTGTTAGCATAGGCCCAAATTCAAAGCATTTAGACTAGCTGGGACCATGGAGAAAAAGGCCTGAAAAAGTAACCAACAATGACAGTCATGATGCGATCTACCTTTGACAAAGGCCCTGCTGATATAAGACAAATCCTACAGGAAGAAGAAATATTTTGTATGTTAGAGGCCTGACTGCTCTGGCACTAAATTTTAATAGGTAAGGTTGTTCTAAATTCAAAGCAAAAACAAACAACAACCACACACACAGAGAGAGAAAACAACTCAAAAGCCTTATATCCTTCAAAATGCACCCAGTATTTAGAGGTAATGGGAGTGACACAGTGGAGCTGTCCCTCTGTACACCGTGTCACTCAGCAAGCTGAGTAATTTAAATTTATCCTTTGCGTGAGCAAGTTGCTCTGTAGATGCTCCAAGTTCATGCTTTAATGAGAATGAGAGGAAAGAAAGGCAGGGGGATGAAGGAGGTAGGAAAAGACAAAGGTTTAGTCTGAAGCACAAAGAAAGCTCAAAATTACCCGGAAATTGAGGCTGGTCCATCAGTTCATCTGGGGATCGATGACCCTACACACACTGTCCTGCAATGGGCCGTTGTTAGGGGCTTCTTCAACTTAGAAGGGAATGAGCACCCAACTTCGTTTTGGACACCAGGCCATGGGAGTGTTCCAAGGCCAAGCCCTTGCATTGTAATGAAACCATCAACTAGGGATTCCTCTCCACACCCTGATTCCTGAGGAGGGTTTGCAGACTTAGAAACAGCGACAGCCCCGCTGGCATTGCTCAGTGGTTGAATGTTGACCTATGAACCAGGAGATCTCAGTTTGATTCCCAGTTAGGGGCTCGATCCCCAGTGGGGCAGTGTGCAGGAGGAAGCTAAGCAATGATTCTCTCTCTGTCTCTCCCTCTCCCTTCCTCTCTGAAATCAATATATATATACATATATGAAACAATGACAGGTATGCCGTTGACTGAGTCTGCAGTGAACCAGCACTGGGCCCCTTGCCCTCCTGACCCGCTTGTCTTTGTTCCCACAGAGAGTGGTGCTCAGCATGGCGGGGATTCCAGGGTTCCTCCTCCTCCTCCTCCTCATGCTCCTTCTCCTCCTCTGCGCTGTGGGGCAGGTGAGCCCCTCCAGCGCCCACTGGAAGCCCACCTGGCCTGCTTACCGCCTTCCTGTCATCCTGCCCCAGTCCACTCTCCACTTAGCCAAGCCAGACTTCGGGGCCGAAGCCAAATTGGAAGTGTCCTCCTCATGCGGACCCCAGTGTCATAAGGGAACCCCACTGCCCACTTACGAAGAGGTCAAGCAGTACCTGTCTTATGAAACGCTCTACTCCAATGGCAGCCGCACCGAGACCCAGGTGGGCATTTACGTCCTCGGCAGTGGTGGCAGCAAGTCCTCGGGCAAGTCCCGGAGGAAGCGGCAGATTTACGGCTACGACAGCAGGTTCAGCATTTTTGGGAAGGACTTCCTGCTCAACTACCCTTTCTCCACCTCGGTGAAGCTGTCCACAGGCTGCACGGGCACCCTGGTGTCGGAGAAGCACGTCCTCACGGCTGCCCACTGCATCCACGACGGCAAAACCTACGTGAAAGGAACCCAGAAACTCCGCGTGGGCTTCCTGAAGCCCAAGGTCAAAGAGGGCCGCGGGGCCAACAGCTCCAGCGCAGCCGGGCCCGAGAAGATGAAATTTCAATGGATCCGAGTGAAGCGCACCCACGTGCCCAAAGGCTGGATCAAGGGCAATGCCAACGACATTGGCATGGATTACGACTACGCTCTCCTGGAACTCAAAAAACTCCACAAGAGAAAGTTCATGAAGATTGGGGTGAGCCCTCCCGCCAAGCAGCTGCCGGGAGGCAGGATCCACTTCTCTGGTTATGACAACGACCGGCTGGGCAACCTGGTGTACCGCTTCTGCGACGTCAAAGATGAGACCTATGACCTGCTCTACCAGCAGTGCGACGCCCAGCCCGGGGCCAGCGGGTCAGGGGTCTACGTGAGGATGTGGAAGAGACAGCAGCAGAAGTGGGAGCGGAAAATCATTGGCATCTTTTCAGGGCACCAGTGGGTAGACATGAATGGTTCTCCACAGGATTTCAACGTCGCTGTGAGGATCACGCCTCTCAAGTATGCCCAGATTTGCTATTGGATTAAAGGAAACTACCTGGATTGCAGGGAGGGGTGACAATGGGAATCTTTCCTGCAGCACTTAGAGGTCTTCATGTCCTTATTTTAGGAGAGGCCACATGAGGTCATTGGTATGTGTGTTCGAGTGTGTGTGCGTGTGTGTGTGTGAGTGTGTGTGCATGTGTGTGAGTGTGTGTGCATGTGTGTGAGTGTGTGTGCATGTAGTGTGTCATAATATCTTTTACATCATTTTTTTTTAAATTGCAAGATGACTGGCATCATGATTTGAAAATTGGTTTGTGTATCACGTCATATCTTTTGAGCAGTTGGAAAGCCTACTTTTGCATAGAAATAAAAAGCATACTGATGTTTGGGGCAATGGGGACTCTTTAGCGACTAAGTTAATCTTTCACTTTTTGAGAACTTTGATTTTTATTTCATCTGAACTTGTTGCAAAGGTTTATATTAAATATGTGGCATACAGGAGATATAAATTCTAATGTGTGTATAGTGTGTATTTTCTCCTGAGAGTCATCTTATTTTTGTTTTGGGTTTTTTTAAACTCCTAATCACTAATGTGTCCAGATGGCAGTGTTCCCCGCAGCATACAACACATGGTACCTTTCAAAGCACCTCTGCGACAGGCAGTTACCATAGTTTGGATTTGGAGATCTGCGCGGTAGTCCTTGATCAGTAAAATAATTTGTTGACCATGTTAGTATACATTAAATTATATCTAACAGTCAGTCAGTCCCCAAGATGTTTTTTAGTTTTGAGATAGTTTCTCTTCCGAAGATTGTTGCTCTATGTTTGAGGAAGACTTTGCATATGGCCCTCCCCAGAGTAGGCTACATGGTTTATGCCAGCACTTCCAGGACTTAACAGGATTTCACTCACATTTTTCGAACTAACTGTTTCGGAAGACAATCATCAGGGCCTCATTGGAGCAGGCTGTGTTGCTTCCCAGCGCACAGTTGTGGTCACACTACAATCATTGCATTTCCCCCCCGGAGTGTAGCACATCTCATGTTTTATCATTTGGATGGAGTAATTGAAAATGAATTAAATTCCAGAGAACAATGGGTGCATTGCTCAGCAGATGTCACGGCAGAATGAGGACTTGTTTGGAGCCTGGCACAGTCTCCCGGTCTAATCAGAATTATTCCGCATACTTTTCAGGGTGCTTGGCTCATTTGGACACTTTTCTCTTGTACTTTACTTACTTTATAATAAAAATATTTGGAAGGTGCTATAAGAAAAAACAACATGACTTTCTTTTTCCCCCCACTAGCTTTAAAAGGGCTTGCTTTACTGGAATACTCTAAGCTGCAGGCACATATAATCAAATAGACTAGCAACAATGGCAATTGGGAGAAGGAAAAATAGATTAGAATCATCACTCCAGTAAGTACCTTTATGAACTTTTATCCATAGGAAAGTCACAGTATGTAAAGGAGAGAGTTTGACTCATTTTATGTCTTAATTCTTTGCCTCTCAGCCTGGATGCTTCTTTTTAAATGAATTACAAATGGGTCACACGGCAGATGTTTGCTGTTCTCGCTCCCCGGGTAACTTCAGCCTGCCTTCTGACTATCTGTGAGGACATCCAAATACAGTATTGATGCTTAAACCTCACCCAGGTGGTTTGGCTTGTGTGTCTCTTGAGCTTTTCAGAAAGATAATCCGGCTAAGTCACTCAAGAAATGTACAATCATAGTGCTTTCTTTAAATCACATAAGAAATACTATGCATAGCATTCTAGCCAGTTTGACTTAGTGGACAGAGAGTCAGCTTGTGGACCAAAGGGTCCCAGGTTCAACTCCAATCAAGAGCATGTACCTTGGTTGCAGGCTCCTCCCTGGCCTGGGCCCTGGTCAAGGCTCATATAGGAGGCAACCAATCAATGTGATTCTCTCACATCAATATTTCTCTCTGTCTTTCCCTCTCTTAGCAAGAATCTAGCCTGAGGAAGAAGAGAAGTCTCCATCTCTATGTCTGGTATTTGGGGAGTTTGTTTGGTTTACCTTTTGCTTCATGCAAAGAGGTGTTCACTGAACACCTAGGTCAGAACTGCTTTTTTAAAAATAAATATACCTTGATTTCTTCATGTCAACGTGTGCAAAGGCTAAGCTTCCCTCAGCAAGGAGAGGCAATGGCAGAAAGCTAAAACAGCATCAACGTTTAGTTCTCAAGTAGATGTAACTTTACTAAGGAATTGTACCCATGTGCTCTGGGGAGCGCACCTCAGGACTGTAAAATCATTCAACATGTCCACCTTTTCAGTGGTAATAGAAAGAAGCTTTTTATTAATTATCATGAAAGTTGAAGTAAAAAAAAAGAAGAAAGGACTCATGATATTATTAAGATAATTCATGTATTAATTATACATCCCAAGGCTGTATTCCCAGTAAGACGTAGAACGTTTCTTAAAGTGTGTGCCTTAAACACTCATTCCTCCCCATTTTCTACCAAAAATAAAAAGGGCACCATCACCAAGAAGGAGGGAGATGACCCTCAATCCCACCTCCCCCCCTCCTTATCAGGGATTCACATGTTTGTTTGCACATTAAAAGCTCTAAGAAGTCCTGTACTGGAGACATGTTAATGTTTTAATGTCTGCATTTCAATAAACACCTTTGGTCACCACACCCTTGTTTTCTCCTTATGAGCAATTTTGTGTTCTAATAAATACGCTTTGGGAATTGCTGTAATAGCCTCTGGGTCAAGGTGATGATGCACAAAGTGATGAGCTCCAAGTGCCGTCAGGTGATGGTGCCTTTTGGGTTTAACCAGAGCCCTGTGTCCAGATTTGAGTGTTTATATGAGACGGCAGAGAAGACATTTGGAAACTATTAGTTACTGAGTATCAAAAGGTCATGGCAGAATTGGGGGCACATTTTTTTCATAGACTTTATTTGGAATTTTGGACTTTATGTAAAGTCCCTTCCCCCAACATTTGGGGACAGGGGAGGACGAAAGAGGTAAAGAAATATAAGCCAGTCTATGGCAGAGTTATATGTATATTCTTTCATTACTTTTTTTAAAAAAACAACAACACAAAGCACCCTGTAGAGTAAGTGGGGACATGGAGATCATTCCCTTCTCTGTGTGTAACTGACTCATCTACCTGCCCCGTGGAGGGCAAGCCCCCAGTGACACCTGGGTCAATATTTAAGGTAGTGGCCTCTCTCTGACACCTACAGTCTTCAGAACTTTTGAGGATGACAAGCGTGCACTGGAGTGATGACGCTCTATCCGCCAGGTGCTAACATGTAAATGACAGCCACCAGGGTGTCCAGAGCGGTTCTGACAGCAGAGATCAGCACTTCCTCTCTGAGGGCGGTCACAGCTCCGGGCCAAAGAGCCTAGTGGACGCTCCTGCACTTTCCTCCATGCTTTGCCTGGGTCTCACTGTTCACGTCTGTCCTTTCCTTAGTCCTTGCTACGAACCAGCTCAAAGATGCCTGGAAGTTGCCCCCATTAATCGATTTCCATGGATATTTGGTGGAGTGGCCATTCAATTTATCATCTAAAATGGAATTTTTTGAGACCGCCTGAAAAGGAATTCTATCCCTAAAAAGGCGAGGACAGCAGGTGTGCTCCAGGTATGTCCTGGGAAATGCAGCATGTCTGGTTGCCTTAATTGGTAAACCCTTCAAAGCACGTTATGGAATGCAGGCTAGGCTGACAGTCCTCCTTGTTAACCCAGGAACAACCGCAGGGCTGCAGCTAACTGTGTGTCTCATCTCTGGTTTTTATTGTTCCTACTGTATGCTTTCTCCACCGGAATCGGCATTCCTAAAGCCTTTGGGGAAGGAAACTTAAAAATTCCTTTTCGTGGGGTCCAGTCTAGAATACATAGGTGGTAAACACAACCTTTTCTAGCAGGTGAACACACATGTGTTTTCAGCCCACTGTTTCCCAGAGAAGAAAATAAGCCAGAGAAGGGAGTGAACAGGCTGGGATCTAGGGCAGCAGACTGCTGTGAGGAGATGGTGGTCTTGGAGTTGGGCAGACTGATTCCATAGTTGCCTGGTTATTTTGGGGGAATAAATCTCAAGATGGGTTACTTTAAAACAGAAAACACTTTTTTGATTCAAAGATCCTCTCTTTTCGAGGTCCCAGCTCCTCCAGCGGGCTGGAGTAGAGTGGAGGAAGAGAGAAAGGGCAAACATCCGTGTCATTCCTCAGTGGTTACTGCTTCTCAGATAATATCAGCTGTTCCATCTGCCTTAGCTCTTACCTCTGGTCATATAATCCTCTGCCTCCTGCTGTTGGGCACCCTTGTTTGGTAGACAACTCTCTCTGGTGGTGAAACAATAAAATACCCCAAGCCCAGCCATTCTCTTCCATGCTTTGATTACCCACTGAGAGCTCACAGGCTGACTGAGTTGCCCATTGAAGATTTTTGGGAAAATGCCCCAGGCTGAGGGAGCTGGAGTGTAAGAGCTATGGCAAGATCAAATTTTGTCTGTTCAAGAGGTGTTAAAAAGTTATAAATATATAAAATAAGTCCCGGGGAGGTAATGCAGAGTATGGTGATGATAGTTAATAATATTGTATTGTATATTTAGAAGTTGCTAAAATCTTAAAAGTTCTCATCACAAGAAAAAGGTTGTAACTGAATGGTGACAGGTGTTAACAAGACTTGTGGTGATCATTTTGCAATATATATACAAATCATTGTATTAAATCATTATGTTATGCACCTGAAACTAATATGTCAACTGTATGTCAATTTTTAAAGAGAGAAAAAGAGTCACACTTAAGTTTGGGGCCTGAGCATGCAGGTAGAGTCCAGTTGCCAATTGCTGAGATGGGAAAGAGGATTGGGAAAATAAAAAAATCAAGAAGCCCTGGCCATATAGCTCAGTTAGTTAGAGCATCATTCTGATACTTCAAGGTTTAGTCCCTGGTTAAGGCACATACAAGAATTAATTATGGCCTGGCTGGTGTGGCTCAGCAGTTGAGCACCAACCTATGAACCAGGAAGTCATGGTTCAATTTCTGGTCAGTGTACATGCTCGGATTGTGGGCTTGGTCCCAGTAGGGGAGGTGCAGAAGGCAGCTGATCAATGATTCTTTTTTTTATCATTGATGTTTCTATCTCTTTCTCCCTCTCCTTTCCTCTCTGAAATCAATATATATATATATATATATATATATATATATATATATATATATATATATATTGATTAAAAGAATCAACTAATGAATGCATAAATAAGTGGAACAATGAATCTATGTTCCTCTCTTTCTCTCAAATTAATAAGCAAGTAAGGAAAATCAAGAATGTTTGTGTTTGTCACATTAAGTTTGAAATGCCTAATGACATCCAGGTGGAGATGTGAGGTAAATACCCCAGTTGTGCAGTGAGTATCTATGGTTGTAAATTTCAATAGCAAGATCTCGCATAAGCATGCAGATAGCATTTCAAGTCCCAGAGTAAGATAGTATCACTTGGGAGGGAATGAGGAAATAAGGTTGAGAAGAGGGCTGAAGACAGAAGCCTGGTCCACCAACTTTAGAAGTGGGTTTCAGAGCAGAAGAAGAGGAAGAGGAGGTAGCAAAGAGGCTGGAAGCAGCTGTCCATGAGGTCAGAGAAAAACCAGGAAAGTGTGGCCTCCTATAAGCCAAAAGGAAAAAGTTTGAAGCCAAGTGTGAGAAAGGGAGGGCGAAGGGCAAGACAAGATCAGGTGGTATGTTAGGCTTTGTTGAGTAATGGCCTTCTGGGTACATGGGCAAGGCAGGTGGGGGGCAGGAGGCATCACCTAGTCCTCCAAGCAGAACCTCAGCTGTGCCTCTCTGTGCTCCCACTGCTCAGCACAGCTCTGCCCCGTCCTTGCCTGCAGGACAGGTTGGTTGATAAACTGAATCCTCCTGTGAGCCTTGGCACAGCTCTGCCAACAGGAAGTGCAAGGACCCAGGGCCACACCCTCCCTGAAGGAGTTCTGGCTTGTAAGGGCCTTGAAAAGGTGGGCCTAGGGAGGCACATGGCCATCTCCTCCTGTCCAGCTGATGTTTTCTGGGGGCAGAAAGTGCACCATGACTCTTCAGTGTGGTATTTGTGTATCGAGTGTGTAAAAATACCAAGTGTTCTCTTAGTCTTGATTTATCACTACCCCCTTGTCTTCAGACTCTAACAGGAGCAGGGCTCTCTCTTCCATAAAGAGCCAGGACAGTTCTGAGAACCAGTGAGTTCCAGTCCAATGAATCAAGACTGAAGTGTTTGCATTGGAGAGAATGAGGAGAATCTCAGAAAATGAAATAAACAGAGCAAGTGGCTGGAGCTGGAGAAGCAGCCATGGGAACAATGGCTCGGCCTTGCTGCCCATGACTGTCTTCTCCAGAGGCCTTCCCCGGTGGTCTTCTCTAAAAATCCAACCCTCGGAGGGTTCTTCTTTCCCTTCTCTGCTTTATTGTCTCGGCTCTGCACCAATCACTCCCACATATCCTATATTATGTTTATTTCTCTTGTTGTCCTTCTCCGCCACTAGAATGTGATTTCCTGTGGGCAGGGATTTTTGTCTATTGTATCCCCACACTTAGAGCAGTGCCTGGCACATAGGTTCTCAATATATTATGTTTCTAAATAAATGATTGAACAAATGACCCTAGTAGCTTTACACAGCCTGTATCACGGATAGCACTTCTTGGTCTTGGATATTTCTTGTGTTCAAATATATTACAGAATAAAACTCTTGTGATGTCTTGTACCCATTCTGTTCTGTTCTGTTACATTCCATTCCATTCCATTCCATCCCATCCCATCCCATCCCATCCCATCCCATCCCATCCCATCCCATCCCATCCCATCCCATTCCATTCCATTCTATTCCATTCCATTCCAGCATGCATTGCACTGCTGTTATTATATGTGTGTCTGTCTCTCTTACTAGACCGTGAGCCTTGTAAGAGCATCTTCCATTGTCTGGCCCTTGGTCTAGCACAGGAAATATTTGCTGGGAAAACAAATGGATGTCTGTTATGAGTTAACCTGTGGCCCAGAGAGGCTTTCCTCTCCCACATCTCACATGAAATTGGGCAATGTGTTTCCTTAGATGGACCTGATTCTGGCCCATAGCCTCTGTCCTATAGACCATTATAGCAGACTCCAAACTGCATCCTAAGTGTCCCAGCTCACCCACAGCTGCCCAAGGCCCCTATGTGTCCTGGTAACTAGACTCTGACCACTACAAAATAAGACTTAGTTTTTTAGCCTGGGATTCACCACCCACTCAATATGATAGTCAGGTTCATCCCCTAATGCCCCCCAGTTATACAACTGGTCTTCCAATAAGTTGTATTGATTGTATCTTATTTTCAAGCCTCTCCCACTACTAAGCTCTCCTCCTCAGCCTGGGGTGCCCTTTTCCATCTTTTCAATTATTCAATCATTCAATCATTCATTTAGCAATAAGTCCAATGCCAGCCACTGTGCTCATACTGGAGCTACAGGAGCAAATAGGACACATCCCTGTGCTTGAGATGTTCCTGTGTCTTCTCCTTGTGAAGTCACTGTGGTTGTGACTCTTGCTCTGTCTCCCAGGTGGTAAGGCTCTGTAATTACCCTCTCTCCACATCTGTCTGGGTGTCAGTGAAGTGGAATAGCCACTTTGTAAATTAAATGTTCCCCTCACATTTAATAAATATTTGAGTTAGATTGTCCTGCCTGGTCAGTGCATTTTGTTTCTGGGATTTAGTAATCCTTACTCTACCTCCAGTTCCCTGATGGAAAATGCCATGTTTGGTAAATATAACTGAAGCATGACTAATATCCTCCATGGATAAGCCATTCTTAGACTTAAAGACGTTGTCCCTTAAAAGTGACACACTTTAACTACTGCAGGATATCTGCCAGACTAGCCAAACACAGAGCTGAATGATCCCACAGAAATGCCTCCAGTTTTTTATTCTCATGGGAAAAAATGTGTTAGTTGATCAACTATAATATATCAAGAAGAATGTATTCAATTCCTTCATTATATTTTTACTGATTAGCTCCTTTATGCCTCTTTAAGTTCTTCAAGCTGTTTAATATCCCACATTATCTTCATTTCCATTCATCTGAGATTTCAAAAAATGGTAAAATGCTGCGGATAATTATCTGAAAAAATGTTTTATTTACTTAAAACTACAATCTATATATATAAAATTTAAGCGACTGGCAACTCAATGACCAAATGACCTAATGACCAGGTGACTGGTCAACCAATTGCTATGATGTGCACTGACCAGCAAGGGCCCGATGCTCAATGCAGGAGCTTCCCCCTAGGGGTCAGTGCGCTCCCACAGTGGGAGTGTTGTTCAGCTGATCTACCGGTGCCAGACTCAGGGCTCATGGCTGGCTGCTGCAGCCCGAAGACTGCAGTAGAGCAGCAGTGAGCTTACTGAGTACTGGTGGTGGCAGGTGCAGCAGGGCCAGGATGAGCAGGAGCGGCAGGCAGGAATGGCTGGTGGTATTGGACTATCAGTTTCGGCCTGATCCCCACAGGCTACGCCAAAGGACCCACTGGTGCACAAGTTTGTGCACTGGGCCTCTAGTTATTTATAAAACCCACTGTGTGAGCCCTGGCGGGGTAGCTCAGTGGGATAGAGCATCATCCTGATAGTCAAGATTGCGGGTTCGATCTCCAGTCAGGGCTCATACAAGAATCAATCAATGAATGTATAAATAAGTGAAACAACAAATTCATGTCTCTCTCTCAATGTGTGTCTCTCTCCCTTCCTCTCTCTAAAATCAATCAATAAAAAATAAATAAAAATACCCACTGTGTAATAGGATAAAACATGTAATGATCACATTTGAATATCTAACTCTGGATATTAACCTTTGTGATCATATTTCTTTTCAGTCCATATTTTTTCAAATGGCCCATTGTTGCTTAAAAACATCATTTTTTTTGTAAGAAAGTCTGATTTGATTTTTAAATTATCTTCCTACTGTGAGTTTCTGTCTCCCTGCATATTTTATTTTAATTTATAGTGCGTATTGGGTCATTCTTTTCTTAACTCTGGAGCCCCTTAACTCCTTTATACAGTATTTTTTAAGTCCCATTTAAAAAATATTTTCTTTGAAACATTATCGATCTGTCTAGACGTAGGGGTGTCGAACTCAATCAGAGAAGGGGCCAAAATCTAAAATCCAGCCTAAATCGCGGGCCGAATGGTTTACTGAACAGTCATAAACTGTCATTGTGATGGAAACGCAGCGGAGTGCAGTGATGACAGCGCGGTGCGGGCCACATTGCAAGGCCTGGCGGGACGGATTTGGCCCGCGGGCCTTGTGTTTGACACATGTGATTAGTCAGGTTAGTGATTTGGCTATTTTAAAGCTCTTTTTGTTAAAAGTAAAAAGATGAAAAACAAAGCAAGAGATTCTGTGACTATGGGTAGCACTTTTCTAGTGGCTGGCTGGCATTTTTGAGACAAGCTTTACACTTTTATTGAAGTGCTCCATATTTCTGGCTCACTGATTGTCACCACATTCTATTGAATAGAAGAGGGACAGAGAAGTTTGTCTGATGGACCTGACACCAATTAGAGTTTCTTTGGTAGAGGGTGTCGCTAGTCAACTCTCCCACTGACTTTCTATTTATACCCAATAAAAACCCATTCAAGGATTCTGCGATTTCCTTGTGAATTTGTTCTTATAAAGAATTTACATTGGTTGAGGCAATTATAAAATAAACAAGCATTTATTGAGTACATGCTACATGGGAGACACTTATCTAAGTACTTTACATATATTATTCATTTACTCCTCACTACAAGCCTATGAAGTAAACATCGATTTTATCCCCATTTTAGAGATGGAGAAATTGAGGCACATAGAAGTTAAGCATCTTGAAACACACACACACACACACACACACACACACACACACTGATAAGTTGGGATTCCTATCCTACCAGAATGCCTCCAGAGTTCTACTTGCTCTGGTTCTACTTATAGCAAGGAGTCAAGGGACCATTGAGAATGCAACAACTAACCACTTGTCCTGGTTGGGGGAGGGAGCAGCAGTGCGAGCAAGAGATGTTTGATCCTTGATGAAGTTTCAGTTTAATCCCTGTGAGCAACTGCTTAGCATATGGAAAGAAGATGCACTAGGAAAAATATGTGCACATAGCTGCAAAGATGCATGACATACCTAAGAACTTGTAACCTTGGTACAAATATAATACAGATAATGCACGATTCTATTCATTTATATGTTAATGAGTACTCAATTTTCTTCACACTCTTTTCATAGGAAATGTATGTCCTTAATTAAAATTTATTAAAAAGTGGCCAACATTCAGATGTTTCTCAAGTGCCTTGGGGAAGGGATCTAAGTGTATAAGATACACTGTCATTCTAATTTTGTCGTTTGTCATGATAACATAATTCTGAACAAATCTTATTTTGGTAAGTGTTTTTGACCATTTAGAGAGCCTTTTTCTCTCTCAGTCAAAATATAACTCCCCAAATTAAATTTCAGTTTGAAATACCTTGGTCTGCAGGTGCAGACTAAATGATCTCAGATTTCTTCAAGCTTTGAAAAATATACTGTTAAAAAAAAAAAAATCTCTCCCCAAGTGAACTTGCCTTTGTTAACTGTGCTGACCTTTGCACATGCTTGGATCGCCCCCTCCTGGTATATTTAAGTTATAACTATTTCTTGGGTTCTCAAAGGTAACTCCCTGCTGCCTTGGGTATTTGTTTCTCAAACACAGCATTTTCAAGTGAAAAGTGAACCATGTGCAAATTGGACCAGACATTCAGTGGTGATCAGGACACGTTCCGGATGAAGGCCATGAAGTCCTTCCTTCAAGTTTGTGTGCTTGCTTTCTGCTTTGTCCTCTGGTACCATGTTGTTGCTTGTTCACCTCTCTCTTTCCTTTGTCAATGTCCCATTGGAATGGTGCCAGGTAATCTAGGGACACAGCGATGACTTACAGGAGATGCTGTGCCTTGAAAATGCCAGTCAGGTGTTTCTAGCATCCTTGGTGTTTCTACAGCCCAGGAACACAACTTGCTTTGTAGCCATGTGCAAACATTTCACAGTTTAATCAAATGTCTGTGAAGCGTTTTCATGTGCCTCATCTCATTTGATCCTCACAGAAATCCTGCAGTAGGTAGATAGGAGACTTGGTAGAACCGATTTTCTTTTCATTTGCTAGAAAACAGAGGTTTAGAAAGTTTAGAAACTTGACTCAACTGAAAAGAAGTAAGAAATGGTGGACCTTGAAAATGACTTCAAGTTTTCTCACTGCACAGAATATAGTCAAACACTGCTGCAGTGAAATATTTTACCCTTTGTTCTCCCTGTGTGATCTATAATAATAATCTGCTTTATGTCGATATTTACTGCTGTGTTGCCAATAATTACCCAAAAGAGAAGTTGGGGCACTTCACTGGGCTGGAAAAAGTTTAGCTAAATCAGAAAGCAGGTCTAATTAAGCAAATTTATCTATATATATAAAGCTATCGCTGGTGCCAATCGCACGCATGTGTTTCAATCTGTCATTGTCAATCGTGAATTTTTTTTTGACACTTCTATTATAGAGAAAGGTCGAATAGCGATATTAAAGTATTTCTTCTACTGGTCCTCTAGTTAGAAATAATGTATATAGTGACCAGTGAATTGTCCAGCACATTATAGGGCCCCATTCATCAGAAAATATTTATTGAGCAACTATGATATGCAAGGCACTCATTTAAATGAAACTGAAA